TGCTGAAGTCTGTGAAAGATGAGCCTTGTGGATCCTGACAGATTCACAGGAAGTGTGTGGCAGCCAATTTGTCCAGTTCCTCCCACTCCAGAATTAGCCTGTTTGGCTTTCAGAAAATATAATTAGATTTGTAAACATTGCAATTGACATTTGTGATCACTGGTTTGTCTTTTGGGTTGTCTTCCTATTGATTATATGTTTGATTCATTTTATGATCAGATTAAAGCAAAATCTTAATATTAACTCAAAAGTAGATATAGGATGCTCCCATAATCTATCAAGTCTAGCAATGGAATAAGAAGTCTGCAACCTGTAGGTAGGGTGAAGACATTAATTCAGTGTACGGTCATCTATGGAATAAATGTTACAGCACGTCTGATAAAATAATTATTCTTTATTTCAAAATAAAGCACTTGCAAGATAGCATTGTTTGAAGTCCATCTATGATAGCAATAAAGGATACAGTTAGAATATACATGAGGAAAGAGTTACCTGATTCCTTTGGTTCTATAAGTGAGAATTTTGCCAGGTTTCATGGTCTCTGACAAGTGTAACTGTGTTCTTACAACACAGTTCTTCCCACACATTTTATATCATGATTTGTCTGCACTTAAAATTATTAGGTTTTATTATACTTACAAGCATAATGATAATACAAGGAGTGCAACCTGCATCTTGTCACGTATGTTGTATGGTATGAGAATATTTGAATTATGTTGTCTGCATTTGTGTCTGATTGATAACAATTTTGCTTGTCAAGCATGTCACACTATTCTGAAACAAAATTGCATTGTTGTTTCAATGACATGTACAGGCTTACCTGGCAGTTTGGAATAGATAAAGTATATTACAGCTGTTCCTATATTAAGAAGCCAAGTGCATCCCCTAAACATGAACTTCCTTCTTACATAAACCGTAATGTATTGATCATAAATATTTATTTACCTGATAACTCTGGTGTGGCAAAGAGAGTTTTAACTGTCTTGCAGATCTAGTACAAACCCTCTGACAAGTTCCTGATAGTGGCAATACCTTATTTTAAAGAATCATAGAATCATACAGTCATAGGGGTAGGAAAGGACCTTTGAAGATCATGAAGTCCAGCCCCATCTGCTGCAGCAGGAAGATGTAGGGCAGATCACACAAGAACACATCCAGATGGGTTTTGAAAGTCTCCAGAGAAGGAGACTCCACAACCTCTCTGGGCAGCCTGTTCCAGTGCTCTGTCAC